CATGCCTTTTTCAAAGCTAACTTCTTCACATTTTCCAAGGTTACTGGAAAAAGTGTAACTTCTTCCGCCACTCACTTTTCCAAAACTGCCTATACTTGCAAAAGTTATTGAAAAGCAAAAAGTATCTGAGACAGATTTAAAAGGCAGTACTTAAAAATCATGAGTATTCACTTCACTGTTTGGGGGGGGGAAGGAGGGTAAATATTTAAGAGCCTTAGGGAAACTGTTTCTAGAATATTTTTTTTTTAAGGATATGTAAGACCCAGTGGAAAAAGTCAAAGTTTGTCAGAGAGTAGCTTTGCCCTTTTTCAACCAGATTGCCCATCAGACTTACATAAGCTAACCACTATCTAACAGGGGTGAGATGCTTGGAAAGGAAAGTGACCATTCAACAGAGTTTGGGTTATAGTACAAAACGACGACTCTATTATTATTTGTAGATCTTCATGAAACTGTTCTTGTGATAATTTTCTTAATGTTTCCCAGCTTATTAATCAAGATTAGGTATGCATCCCTGCATCCACAGACCCTTGTCTTCCTGCAAATGCTCGTGACCTTTCTAGCCATCAAAGGCCTGGAGGGCTGAAAAGCCATGTGACTGCGAGGGCAGCTGCACTGTTCAGCACTGGATTCACTAAATAATGAAAGCTTTCTCTCTCTAAAGCTAAAACTTAAAAACAGAGGCTAGTTATCTATCACAAGAAATCTTAATGAGGCAGATTTCAGAAAATACATCCCCTTCTGAAAACCAGTCCCCACCGAATTTGCTCAATCACAATATAGAAGCACTCCAAGCCACTCGACGCATTTAAAACACCTCGATCAACATGTGCACAGTTGCAAATCGTTAAAACACCTCTTACAGCCAATTGGCACAATCAAATGACAGAAGCAGTGAAAGATATAGAGCTTGGTTATTTGTTATTGAGGCTGGCGACAGGACAGAAGGAGCTGGAATGAACAACACTGGGATGTGACTGAAGAACTGTCATCAGGGATAGTGTGACTCTTCCTCTCTGACACATCCAAACTTGTCTTCAGACAACGAAAAGCATTTACAACTAGCCTTTTCTCTCCAATACATAAGAGCACTTTGCTCTTTGATACTATTGCTTTGTATTACAGTAATGCCTAGGAAGGAGGGTTTCCTTTTGCTTAAACAAAAAGAAGAATGTCTTTGTGAATGAAAGTTTAAGACCTTGCTTTTGCCTTGGGATGCACATAGAAAAAATGGCATAACTGAAAAGATACCGTAAGGTGCAGTTTCCAACTGAATGCAGTGAGATTGACGATAGGAGATCATGAAGATAAGAGTGAGCAGATGATAGTAGTAAGAAAATATAATTAGTAAGTCAATTCAACCCCATTTGATCATTTCTAACATCTAAATTTTTTCTGGACTGTAACTAAATAAATAGATACTACATATCCTCAGCAGCCGTCTACTCTTTTTCTTCTTTTTTAAATTGGTAGTTTTCTGTAGATAAAGAGGTTGGGACAAGTCTAAAGCATGGATTTTAAAAATATTAGTGAAACAGGTCATTTGCCCATTTCAGCATGTATAGCATGTATAAGTCACAAAAGACATAATGTATGTAAAGGAATTCTCATTAATATCAATACTCGAGAGAGAGGCAGTAATATATTTTTTTCTTTTGCTTATGGACTAATGGAGAGGAAAAGAATGTCTTTAAGACCATCAAGAACTTTAAGAAGTTCACAAAGTGCTACAGCATAGCACAGGTGGAAGCATAACCTAGAGATCCCATCCAAAAGCCAATGATTTCAGGACTTGACAAACTTCCCTCCCAATGAAAGATCCTCAGCAAGATCACAGAATTTAGTAAGAGAACATTCTCAACAGTCCCTAAGCTAGAGACAATGGCAGGAGAAAAACAATCTTACAATTCATGAGAAAAACTTTGACAGTGCCTTGTTGAGGGATATGCTTGTGTCAGAATGAAAATGAAAGCGGCACAATTATAAGCTGTACAGTCAAACGAGGAAAGTATTTCCAATGTAGAAAGAGAACTCCTCAAAGGAATATTTGTAACAAGAAGCTATGCAAGCTGCCTTGGAGTCCATGGACAACTATCTGTCATAAGTAGAAGCAGAATAACCATCAGAAATCTCTTAAAAATATTAATACTAAGAAACACGTTAATTAACAATATGAACACTCATAAGACTGAGCCTTTCCCATTGCCTCAGAGCTAGAACTGGCCTGTTATGCAGCAAGAACTGTCATTCGGATTACAGATGGCAAATAACTGACAGAAGCAGGCTTCAGGCATACTTTTTCATCTCTACCATGCTGTCTTACGCTAATTTAACTTAGTGTTTACATTTTCTCTTCACTTTACAATATGACGCGGTAGATAGCTGCACTGTTCCACACAGTCTGAACTGTCATATGCCATATATGAGATTATTCTCTTTTTCTCTCACAACTAGATGCCCAAAACGTAGTATTCTGAACCTGAGCAAAATGAAAAACTTGTGTTTAATATGTCTATAGCAAAAGGCACCTCCTGTAGAGATTATTATCTGACATCCTATTTAATATAACAACAGTAGCACTATTGCTCCTGACGAGATCATTATCCTGTTTTGCTATATTTGAGGGTAGCACCTGATTCAAATCAACACTGACACGTCCTTTCATGACTGTTTTGAACAAATGTTATTACGCAAAGTGATTCTTTTCCACTGTCAAAATGGTAAGTACATTTAAAATAATCATACCTCTGTCTATGGTAGCACTTGTCTATGACAAGTGTCTCTGTCTATGGTAGCATTTTTAAAAACTGTTTATAATCAGGAGATGTTGATACAGTAATTTAGAAAGCAGAAAATAATTAAAAACAACAAAAGGATACAAATTACATTTCAGAATTATTCAAGACATAACAATAAAACACCACTTATTGTCTTAGGAAGTTAATGGGAGCTCCTCCAAAGACTTTGGATAGTCTTTGGCTCTTTTTCGTACCTGCAAACGGGGAAGCAGAACAGATTTCCCTTCAGACCCAAGAGGGCTGAAATCTTTGGCATGAGCTTCAGTGCCTTGTCACTTCCATTCATGGGCAGCAAAGTCAATATTTTAGAGGATAATTTTTTTCTTTAGAAAGAAATAAAGCCCATCATAAACTGTCATGGAACATTATAAAAATAGGGAACATTTCTAGACTACAAAGATCTCCTATTTGGATCATGTTCCTGGTAATCTCTGCTCCATTTCCACTCCCAGGAATAAATTTGATCCTGCAACCTTCATTCATATGAAAGTAACATTTGCAAATGTGCACTGAAGTCAAGCCAACCTACCTCTTATGGGTCAGACTGTAAGCTCCTTATTCATATTGCAAAACAGTTGCGCAAGTCTTTCAGATAACAAAAAATGAGCCAGTTTACATAACTACTCATCAACGTGACTAATGACAGTAATGAGGCCACAAATTGGAACAGTGAGGAGACTTGCTAGCATTGGCTAATTTTGTAAGTATTTTCAATTGAAAGTACAGCAAAATAAAAATATTTGGCACCATGAAAGCTGAACTTGATGTTACTGGATTATATTCAGCCAGAGTGAGTATATGCAATTTGATGCTGCTTAGTATATCGTAGAAAATATTTACTTTCTGCTTTACCTTCTTTTATTCTGGAAGGCTATACAATCTGACACGTACACCACCAGTCAATCTTTGGCACTTTTATCTGTACAGATGTCCTTTATTCTACCTGTCTCTCTTCATCTGTGTTTCCATTGCTCAGAAACAGTGTTATCCCAATATTTCAAATAATAAAACCATGCAGTCAATTAGAATCACAAACACATACAGAAATTTAGTTTCTGTCTTTGCTTTTTGTGTTATCCACTAGTGGTCTTACCCTACAAATAAACCTGATATTTCGTTCTTAAAACTTTCAGCTAACATCTTAAACAACAAATGGAAATCATAAGTATTCTGCAGAGACTGCAGGAAAGAGAAAGACAGAAAGAGAGAAACAATAAAATTCAATCATCTCCAGCAATTTTTTAATGTAATCAATGGGTTTGCAGATGATTCATTAAAAAAAATAAATGGTATGTTTAATCACTAAATGATATTTATTTGTAATGATGAGGTGATTTTATTGTCATCTAAAGGCCAGAGAGATAGCTAAGACACATCAAACATAAGGTGTGTAGCTACCTAGTTTCTTCTGACTTTCCTGGATTTTGGAAATACAACAGTTTTTTAGAGATAATGAAGCTACCAATTAGTGAGAAGATTTATTATTTACCCATTCTTGTGCTACTGAGTAACATTAAAATATTAATGTCTGAAAACACTGACAGTTGTATACCATCATAGCTTTCATGGTCTTTTGTTCAATTACAATTACTAAACCATTGGGATGCTCAAACTGTAAGCTTGATGTCTGTGTTTTGAAACCATTTAATGTGTTTTGCACACTTATGTGTCAACTGAAAGATTTCAAAGGAGTACTTTTTACTGGCTAAAATGTACAAGAAAAAAACCCATTGCCAGTGTGATGTTACTACACTGGGCATTTGCTTGGATTTAGCATTTCTCATTGTATAACTTCTACAGAGCTCACAGAAATCCAGTTAGCAGAGGCATTTTAAAGAAAAATCCATCTTGCTGCAAGACTTTTCCAGGCAAAAATCTCTTAACTGTAACTTAAAGTAGGAAATAAGGCACTATATATGCCATCATTTGTTTTCCCTCCTTATGCCTTGCTTTGTTCTTCTTGTCCTATGTATCTTTACTAGTTCATCTCATGAACTTTAGTGTCTCAAAGCATTTTTAAACCAGTGAACAAAGGGAATAAATTCAGGAAGAATGAAGGAGGGAAAAAGAAACCTCTGACCTGGTATTACCAAAAAAATAAACAAACGAAAAAAAGACACTAAGATGAAAACAAAATAGTGCCATGGATTTACATATGGGGTTTTGATGGAAACTAGGGCTGGGTTTTAAATCAAAACTCACCATCTCAAAACCACTTCTTTTCATCCGCCTGCAGGACTTGAGGTAAGTACGTATGCGTTTTCTGGCACGCTCTTGATACTCAGGGAATTGTCGCCTGCATGAGTCAATGATAGCCTGGATCTTTTCTTTGGGCTGCTTAGAGATTGGGACCATTCGGTCCAAGTTTTCATCTACAAACAGCCTGACAAACATCTGTTGGCAAGAGGGAGACAGAGGAGATGGGTTTGGAGGGTGGCTCTCTTCTCTTCCTAGCTTCCTGTCTTGATTACTGATAGGAAGACATTTTTTCTATCCACTGAAGAGCTTTGTAATGGGAAGCCAGAAATATTAAGCAAACAGTTCTTTAAAGGGTTATTTTGGGGGGGGCTAATTAAAAAAAAAAAAAAAAAAGACAAGAAAAGAATAGTCTATAGGATACAGAACTTGTGAGATAAACCAGAACAGATTGTGAAAATAGGCACTACTTAAGTTTGATTATTAACAATAAGCTGTGATTGCTAATAATTTTATTGAACTGAATCTCACTTTTTCTTTGTTTGAACAATTGCATGTGTTTTCATGCATAATTACATACATTGGGAAAGCAGCTGACCACTGGAATGGTCTTCTGATAAACTAGCTACAGCCCCTTTCCATTCAATGGGTGAACATGCACATACACACATCCACATCCGCACACACAGGCGTGCATGTGCACACACACATACAAAACAAAGCTTTTGTTTCCTCACTGGCAAAGATGGCACTCTGCCTTAAAATTCTAAATAAAACACAGTAAATCTGTTGTCTGTTGGCAAGAGTTTAATGTGCATTAAAATAATAATTGAAATAAATCCTGCAAATTAAATTAATGTGCCTTTAATATTGTCAAACTTACCCATAAATAACAATGAAAAGGAATAGTAGATGTAAGCAAGACAACCAGTGCAAGAGGACTTACATTAAAAGCTTTCAGTCGCTCAGCTTCTACTCCATCTGATTCATTAACCTTCTCAGGATCTTCCTGCTCATCATGGTCATCCTCATCCTCATCTCCTCGATTCAGAGACAGATCTTCAGCACCTCTGCCTACACTCTCATTCTTGCCAGAGTCATAGCTTGAATAGCTATGTGCAGGGGACTGAAAATAGATAAAACAGAATGCGTTTGTAAAAATTCACCATGGAAATAAGCATCAAAAATGCTTTATAAATATTTAAAGAATTCCACGATTTCTTTATATTTTGTTCAATATAAAGTGCTCATAATCCTTGTAAGAGTGAACAATTCTCAATAATATTCACTTCAGTACTTTAAAAAAAGTGCAAATTCAGTAAATCAATTAAGAGATGAATTACCTATGATAATGACAGTTAACATGAGATATTTGCCATATAGCCTTAAGTACTACAAAGAAAATTCTCTTACAAATACCAACTTCTTTGTATTAGCCAAGATGTAAATAAGAGGCAGTTGATTTGCACAAAACTCTAAAGGATTAAAAATTACACATTTTAAGGCAAAGAGGATTTAAGTAGGAAATATTGATATTAACCCAATCAATATGAAATATTATCAAGAGCTGCAACAAGTTATTCAAAACATGGAGATGATTATGTCCTAGTTTCACTTGCAAAACCCCAGAATGAATTAGAGATGTGTAGGTTTGCTAACATTTTGAATGGTCTTCTGAGACTCATATAGTAAAACCATTTTACATTTGCATATTAGCATTCAGAACTTTCCCCTGAGCAGAACATTCAGCTGGATAAATCAGATGACCATCTCATTAAAGTGTATCCACTTCTAGGACCAAAAAGTTTTCAATTACCAAAAGTCAATACTGTGCACTTTTCCATGCAATATCAAGACTTCAGTTACCTGTTTCCTCTGCACACACTTCAAACTGAAGACCACAAAAAGGCATCAGTAGTAAAAAGCCTTCTACAACTTAACACTCTAAGATGAAAGTTTTTGCCCAGTCACACAAAAGTATCAGAGAGTATCTTCACCAGATTCACCTTTAGGTAATTCAGAGCACAATTTTACTTCTATAATAATTTAGTCCTGTAATATTTCGATATTTTCCTCTCTTACTTCAAAGCATATTGTAATCTATTAAGTTCAGACAGTCCTGAATCAGGTGCTACATGATGAACTTCACATTCATGCTTTTTTTAGGTGCCTCTTGCCTAAATGTCACCAAAAGTTAGGAGCATAATGCCTCAATCAAAAAAACATTTCAAATACTTAAAATCACATGCTTTGATCTACATTCTGAGCCTCCTAAAATTGTCTTTATTTCAGGGTTTTTTCACCAATCATAGAACGTAAGTGGGGAGTGAGGTAGGAGGGAAAGGCCAACAAAACCATTCATCTTTAAGGTATACTTCTTGCTTTATATTCTTACTCCAACTTCTTTTTTTCTTTCTCTATTTTAATTTCCACCTTATGTTGGTCCTCTGTACACCATCAGTTTTGCAGTCATTCCCATTCACTTCATTGCCTTGCCTTAATAGCACTCATACTCCAAGCCTTCCTTTTTTATCTGTCCTCCCCAGACTATATTCTCACAGTACAAATCCCCTGGAGTTCCACTTTTTAATCCCTAATGCTTTTAACATCAGATCTTGCATCCTTTCTCATCCTCTTCCTTGAGTCTCTTCACTCTCTAGACTACTCTCCATTCCCTTGACCCTTATAGTGCCACAGGGAGAATGAGAAATCAAAAGAAAACAGAAAAGCCAGCCTCTGGATACAAACACCTCCAACAAGTAGCAAGCACATTATCACCTCTTCTCTTCCTACAGCCTATGACTGCACAGTTACAAGGCAAGAAATTAGCCAAAGAGCAAGTAGCAAGCACAGTATCACCTCTTCTCTTCCTACAGCCTATGACCGCACAGTTACAAGGCAAGAAATTAGCCAAAGTTCAGGATGGCAGACACGAGATGGCATGGGAAGGTAAGACGTGGGATACCAGCAAAAAAAACCTGTTCCTTTTCTTGACACACTGATATTTTGTTCTGGGAAGATGATGAATATCTACGTTGCCACCCAGATAACTCGTCCTTGCAGGAGGTGTTGAATCCATTGAATTATGAGGCTCTGGAAGAATATGGTTCCATCCTGATAGAAGATCATGGCTATAACTTATCTGAGTGTCTAGTGTATATAAGCAACAGTATTTAACCTGGCCAATGGCTACCAGAAGGCCAACAGCTGCAGCCTGGTAGTCTGTTATGAAGGAGTAAGAAGGGTGTTTTTCCTTGAACCTGAAGACATAGCCAGAAGAAAAAAAAATAGAGAAAGTTACAATTAATTAGTTGTTACAATTGTTGTCCTTGTGTCCAAGTTTTATGCAGCAGAAGATCTGACCTAGACTGCAAGACTTGTTCTTTTGTATTTCTTCATTTCACCTCGTACTACAGATATACAGCATGCAGAGGGCTTCTAGATAATCAAAAAGCCATTTCATGTGCTAGGCACCATATAAAGCTGTAGTAAGCAGAAGCTACTGCCCTGAAGAACCCTGTCTGAAACCCTTGTTCTGCAAACACTTGATTTCACATGAGTCATTTCATCAGACTAAATCCAATTAGACTACTCATGTGCATAAAATTAAACAGATGCAAAACTGATTTCAGTATGTACATATGTTGGGCTGGATGCCAAGATCATAAATTATGCACCAGGAATGAGATTTGCTTTTGTGAAGGAGAGAAATTCAGGCCAAAATGGATTAGCTATGTCTCTCAAAAATGCAATAGTTTGTTCGTTTTTTTTTAAAAAAAGAAAGCATTGCACAGAGAGCCTTGTCCAATGTCTTCTCCAAAATACTTATTTCAAGAACAACTTTAGCATCTTAAATGAACCATGGAGAATAACGTACTCTGAGAAAGTCGCATGGCAGGAATTCATATTTATTCATCATGGATTTGAAGGCTGTGTACAGTAGCAAGAAAAAAGGTGGGGTTTTTTTTCTAGCTGTTGCATCAGCAAACTGAGGGAAGAGGTTACAAAAGCTCAGTTAAGAATAAAATTTCTACCTCTTTGTATTTCTGCACAGGTGACTACTGAATCAGAGAAGGAACAGGCTGTTTCTCTCACTTCTGTTGACTCTGCAGTTGTGCAAAAGCTGATAAGCATTTTCTTTTGGTACTTTATTAGTACTTTATTAGCTACAGTGCTAAACAAACATAGAGTAGGACAGCAGAGGACAACTTTACCTTAGTACATGTTCCACAATTTTAGGTCTTGCACTGTCCTTTCAAAACACTGCTCCCACCTTTGCCAGACAGGAACCTGCTCATTCAGAATCCTATACACCCCTTGACATGTACATTTTTATGGTCCTGCAGTGAACTAGACTGGAGAAGTGATCCTGGTTAAAATGTTTTGGATTATTTTGTTTTCTTTTGCCAGTGTGTTTAAGACCAGGATAGGTTCTTGGCTCCAGCTCACCACCTGAAAGCACAAACCTTGAGGCTGACAGGGGAGTGTGAACATGGAAGCGATAGAGGCAGCACACACAATTGCTGTTGACAGCAATGCGAGATTAAAGCAATCATGGAGCGGAAGGATTAGTAGGCACAAGATGTTCCACAGGTGAAACCTCTGTGCTTAACAAATGTGGGTTGAAAAAGTAAGAGACAACAATGTAAAATGAGAAAGTATTCAAGGAGACCAAATGAGGCTGAGGCTAAGGCCAAGAGTATTGACTCCCCAAAACATTTAGATGATTATAAAGTTGACTTTAAAATACCAAAATGTTGATATATATATTCTGGCCACTTTGTCCTTGTCCTTTTCTGAAGGTTCTGATTTCATTAGTTTAAACTTTTCCTTTTAATAATAAGTATTAGACAGTTCTGCATTATAAAAATGAAAGTAAAGGTTCTTGCCTAACAACCTGCTTTCAGGAGCTTGTAACATGAACTATCAACATCTTTGCAATACATTACGAGTCAGCAACAAAAGTCACCTGAAGTAAGTGTCAAATCGTACAATAAAAGACTGAGGAGGACATCACAGTGTCAATTTGCTGCCACAGAACAAGGTCAGAAGGCCATTCTTGACCACTGTTTGTCTGGTTGTTATCTTTAAGACTTCCAGTGACAGAGATGTGATGCATCCCCCAGACAATCTGCATCAGTGTTTCACTGCCTTCAGGAATTATTAAAATATTCTTAACATCCACCTCTGACTTTCATAAACAGTACTACGCGTATTTCTTTTTCACCTATCTACCACATATCACAATGGAGGACAGCTGTATGTGGAAAAGGAGCATTCTTTTCCCTCTTTACAAGAATCTTTCAGACAGGAGAGGGAATGTTTATAAGAGCAAGTAGCGACAGGACAAGGGGTAATGGGTTTAAACTAAAAGAGGGTAGATTTAGATTAGATATTAGGAAGAAATTCTTTACTGTGAAGGTGGTGAGGCACTGGAACAGGTTGCCCAGAGAAGCTGTGGATTCCCCCTCCCTGGAAGTGTTCAAGGCCAGGCTGGATGGGGCTTTGGGCAATATGGTCTAGTGGAGGGTGTCCCTGCCCATGGCAGGTGGCTTGGAACTAGATGATCCTTAAGGTGCCTTTCAACCAAAACCCATTCTATGATGATATGATTTGAAGACTGTTATCATGTCCCATCCTCTCAATCCTCTCTTCCCAATAAATTAATTTCTGCTATGAATCTCATGTTTTCCAGATTCGTAATCATTCTTACTGGTCTGCTCTAGATGTTCTTTATTTGGTGTGAAACTTTCTCAAAAAGCAATTCCCAAAACTCCAAAGCGTATTCAATTTGAGGCCCTTCTATGGAAAATATATTAATTTATCGCTTGACTGATTTCTAATATGCTTACAGGAGAAAAAGCTTATCACCTTATTTGCAAGATAAAAGAATACCCCATATGTGCAAAAGACAGTAATGCAGAAACCCCCCCAGTTGCCAACTGAAGTCATGCTGTTATTTTGTGAGAAATAAAGCAGCAGTAATCCAGAACATTAATAAATATAAAGTCTACAATAGCGCCCCAATGCCTGGTAGGCTCAGACACTGGTGTATGGCTATCAGACATGGTTTGGAGGATGATGCCACATGAACTCATTGCAGGAGGCTTCTCCCAGCAACCAAGA